TGCCAACAGGCATACGGCTAGGAAGAACAGCAAGGAGCCAGGCGCCAACTCTCGGAGACACAAAGGGCGGCAGCAGCCACAGCCAGGGACAGCAGGGCCACTTACATCATCAGTAGGGCCCACCTAGGCCCGGTGACCAGTCTCCAGATCTGTGTGGAAGAGTCTTATGCTGTACTGCATATAATGGGAACTTTCCAGAACTGGAGCATCTGGGACAGCAAGTCCACACATACTCCACTCGCCCACCCACCCATCTATCCATCCATCCATCCATCCATCCATCCATGCATATCCAGGCGCACATATGGCCACATCAGAATACATCAACACACACACACACATTCTTGATATTTGAAGTCATCGAGGATGCGTCCCTCCTGTGGCCCAGCTGTACACACTCAGTTTATGATGCTCTCGGAAGACTTGTCTGAGAGAACGTTTCCCAGCATCTGAACCTAAACTTCAAGGAGTGAAACCTTCTGGAGGAATTGCTGGGACAGCATCTGGCAGGTGGATGGCAGACTGGAGCCAAAGCTGGAGCAGCTGCCAAGGGGAGAGTGCTTTCCCCTGGCCTAAGTGGCAACTCCCAGCTATGTGACTTGATTGTTGGAGATGAGAGTCATTACACAACCGGGGTCCATGTCAGGGCTGAGCTGACTTGGAGACAGCTTAAAGTTTATTTCAAATTAAAAAACAAACAAACAAGACAAGTTCTCCATTCGTCTTCAGTGTTTGAGGTTTGGTGGGTACGCATAGAAGCAAAGAAGGGTAAGGCCCAATTTTACAAGCCCCCTAATAGCCTAATGGCAAACTTTAGGGATACCTAGAGGATGGTCACCAGGTTCTCTGCATTTTTTTTTAAAGATTTTAAAACATTTAATCTGAATCTGTGTGCGCCTGTGTGAGTTTCTGTGCATCGCATGCATGCAGGTACAGAAACCGGTTACAGGCGGCTGTGACCTGCTGGTGTGGATGCTGGGAACTGAACCCGGGTCCTCAGCAAAAGCAGCAAGTGTTCTTAATCACTGAGCCATCTCTCCAGCCCCATCTGTATTCTTGTTAATCGGAATGTGGTCTGGGGCCAGCTATGACCTTGTTGGCAAGCAGCTTATAGGGCATGAGTCTCAGGTGCCATTCCAGACCTAGTGTCTCACACATGTGTGTTAACCGGGCTCCCGGTGGTCGGCACACACACCCTCATCAAGAAGCATTCCTGAGATTTCTCTGTAAGAAGTAGAGGCCTGGGAGGTCAGGGTCTGTATACCAAAGGATACTCCTAAGTATGGGGAGAGGGCAGGCTCTCTGACCATGTTTGGGGACTGTAGTGGTCAAAGGTACGACGGTGGGTGGAACGAGTTCGGGTGGCATTGTGGTATCTGCTGGCGGCAGTGCAAACCAGCTCTGGACCGAGTGGTTGATTTCCTCAGAGGACCAGTCTCAGCTTTCTCTTACAAAGCTCAGAGGATGATGGGAGAGACAGATGTTCACCAAATGAAGGTGCAAGCAAAACCCCGAGCGCAAACAAGCAGTCAAGGGCAGGCACATTCATAGAGCATATGGCAGTAGGGGGAAAAGTATGCGACAAAAATCGAAGACTTGTAGCCGAGTGGTGGTGGCACACGCCTTTCATCCCAGTACTCGGGAGGCAGAGGCAGGCGGATCTATGTGGTTTCGAGGCCAGCCTGGTCTACAGAGTGAGTTCAGGACAGCCAGGATTGTTACACAAAGAAATGCCTTAGAAAAAAACAAAACAAAACAGCAACAGGAGACTTTTTTCCCAGGGTGGTTTCTCAGAACAGGGGAGATCTGTGACCAGCTCTGAAGAATGAGTAGAAGAATTTAAGATAAAGAAAGTCTTGGGCCAGCAGGAGGGCTCAGCCAATGAGTACTGGCCACCAAGCCAGATGACCTGGGTCAGATCTGAGACTCACGTGGTAGAAGGGGAGAAATGACTCTCTGACCTCCACATGCATACGGAGACATGGATACACGCACACACTACACACACACAATTTTTAAAAACAAACCAGCAAACTAAAGAAAGTGTGAGAGACCATCAGAAACGACATCTTGCCTTTGGGGTCACTGGCAGAAGGGTTCTAGAGGGAGCGTGGGGAGTGATATCATATAGGCAGCTCCCAAGGTAGCTAGGAACGCTGGGTGGCCTGGTTTTCTGAATCGCTGTCTGCTGATGCCTGTATGTTCTGGGTTCCATTCCTGGTTGTGGAGGCATCAGGGCGTGGCAGAGTGGGGCTGCTCGTTCAGTGGTTCCAGGAAGCAGAGAGAATGCCTGCACCAGGGAAAGCAGTGTGTGCGGTAGTCATCTCTGAGTCACACGGAATTTCAAATTACCTAGTAGCCTCAAGGCACGTACCCCACTGTTGGTTTCCTAAGCAGATATAGGCAGAACACTGCCTTTTTATTGTTGTTGTTTTGTTTTTCAAGGCAGGGTTTCTCTGGGTAGCTCTGGCTGTCCTGAAACTCATTCTGTAGCCCAGGCTGGCCTCGAACTCACAGAGATCCGCCTGCCTCTGCCTCCCGAGTGCTGGGCTTAAAGGAGTGCGCCACCACTGCACCACATACTTCTTAGTATGTCACCAACATAATGATTACTAGAAATCAACATAAATGATTACTAGAAAAACCTTGTTCACATTTTTAACTAAGTCTCCCACATTCCGTGCATATAGTATAATATCATTCTGTCACTAAAATTTTTGCCAGAAACTTAAATTGTATTTAGACTTCATAAAAACTAAGATTGAGCCGGGCAGTGGACAAACAAAAACCAAGACTGAGAGAAGCAAGAGATTTGCCTACTAAAGTTGTTTTCAGAATAATTCTCTAATAATTAAATTGAAAATTTTTAAGTTTGATTAGTTTCACCAATCAGTTAGCACTGTGAATTCAGTTCTTTCAGTTGCCCAGTGGTCATTTTTGAAGTGCTCAGTAGTCACTTGTGGCTGGCCAGCGATCGTTACCATGGCCATCAGAGTTCACTATGTAGACCAGGCTGGCCTTGAACTCATAAAGATCTGTCTGCCTCTGCTTCCAAGTGCTGGGATTAAAGACATGTCCCCCCATACCTGGCATCAACAACAGAGTTCTATACAGAGGGAACGGTGTGCTCAAATGCCCTGTGGCAGAAAGGGGGCTGGTGTTCAAGGACCTGAAAGGAAGCCAGATGGCTAGAAAGCCCAGGGCACAAGTGAAGTGATTCTGCGGAGAGTCTCTGAGCTGGGCTTGCTTTAATTCTGCAAACCCGAGTCACAAGTAGCACACTCTGGGACTGTATTGCAGTTTGCAGAGCTCCTGATGTCTACTGTGTGACTGGAGAGGCTGCTCAGGAGGTTGTCACAGTCATCCAGGAGAGAGAGAGAGAGAGAGAGAGAGAGAGAGAGAGAGATAGAGAGAGAGAGAGCGAGCACTCAGAGGGGCTTGGACCAGGAAAATGGTGTTGCAAATGGAGAGAAATGAGGAAATGAGCAAAGTCAAAGGCATTTTGACAATAAAGGGGGGTTTGGTGATGCTGTAGGGTGTGGTGTGAGGAGAGTGCTGTCAATGTTTAGTTCAGACACCAGATAGACGTGGGACAGCATGCTGAGAGGGAAGCCTAGGAAGGAGACCAGTGTGAGAGGAGGAGGAATAGACCTCTGACTTTAACTGTGCTGAGTTTGAAGTGGGAGCAGGCACTGCCTGACTTAAACACGGGTCCCATGAGGTTCTGACTAGAGAAGATCACCAAGGCTGTGGGTTTGGAAGAAGCTAAGTAAACAGTGGCATACAGGGTGAAGAGGGGGCTCGAGACGCAGCTGTGATGATCTGAGGTCAGGTGCGGAGGACCAGCTGACAAAGAAGCTGGATCGGGGCAGGTGGGAGCAAGCCAGAGGGATGGCTGCTGCCGGGAGACAAAAATAACAATAGGGCCAGGAATGGGGGCTTGATGCCCACCACTGACCTCCTAGCCAGGGCTGTTTGAAGTGTGGGCGGATCTCCAGCTAGGAAAGGGAAGGAGGGTAATACCACAGGGGTGTGACTTGGGTCCAAAAGGTCTTGTTTGTTTGCTTGTTTTTGAAATAGGGTCTTACTATATAGTCCTGACTGTCCTGGAACTTACAGAGATCTGCCTGCCTCTGCCTTCTGAGGACTGGGATTAAAGGTGTGCACCACAACTCCAGTCTTAAAAACAAAACGGAATAGACTAGAACATATTTAAGGTCTTCCAGAAGAGTCCAGGGAAGGGAAAGGTTGAATGCACAGGAAAAAGGAGGAAGTGGGTAATAATAGGTTTGGGAGAGAGGCGTATTCTTCCTGGGACTGGATGTGGGGAGGCTAGGGTGCAGGTTTGTGCTCCGGTTTCCTCGCCATCATTTCGCTCAGGGCCACCATCCCTTTACTGCTGGCTGAGACTGGGAGCCTGTGTCAGCACACGGCTGGTCCCCAGCTGTCCATAGCAAGCTGTAGCTTCTCCCCTCTTACATCTTGCCTCCTTTCCCAGTCTTTCTGGACTGGTCAGTTTTCCATGTTTTTGTCTCCCAGCTCCTCTTAACTGTCTCCTTAGGTCTTTTTGTTTCATTTTTGTTTTGTTTTGCTTTTATTACCCTGTCTTTCTGTATTTTCATCCTGGTCTCTGACTCCATTTACACATCATCAATTTCCCTTGGTTTAGCGCTCTTCTAGATTGATGTCTTGGCTGCTTCTACTTGGCATTAGTCAGTCTCCCAGATCCTCAGGTATTTCCATGTGTGGCCATTAGCCTGCAATTGTGGCCTCACCTGGGAACTTAATAAAAACACAGAGTCTCAGACCATACATAGATATAAGGAACTCAAATTTGCTTTATTCCAAGTAGCCCCTGGGGAACTTCAGTACATATTCCAAGCTGACATTTATATTCTCTCTCTCTCTCTCTCTCTCTCTCTCTCTCTCTCTCCCCCCCCCCACAAGACAGGGTTTCTCTGTAGCTTTGGAGCCTGTCCTGTAGGCCAGGCTGGCCTCAAACTCACAGAGATCTGCCTACTTCTGCCTCCTGAATGCTGGGATTTAAAGCATGCGCCACCACTGCCTGGCCGTTAGCTTTCTTCTAAAACTACATCCAAACAAGTCCCAGAATAAGGGGGGCTGTGTCTCCTGTTGCCTGTGTCACCCTGACGATGCCCTGGGGAGGGGCTCGGCTTCTTTTTATCACCTCACCCATCCCCTCACACTCCCAGAAGCTGCTCCTGGAGTCTGAACGGCTCAGGGAAGGAGTCTGTGGCTCCCCAGAAGTCCTGAGTACATAGATGCATAACTCAAGCCTCAGCTCCCACAACTGGTCAGGGGACATTCTCATTCTGATACCTCGTGAACTTCTAGATTCAACCCTAGCATGATGTGAATGCAGTGAACCCTGGGCCTGCTCTTGTCTGTTTCTGAACTGCATGGTGAAGTCGGTTTAAAAGTGACGACCGGTTATCTGCTCGCAGCCCTAAAACACCCACCTGAGACTGAAACCCTAGGGCTACCAAGAGCCATGGGTGGTCCCGAAATGGTCCTTGGTGCTTTGGAGGCTGATGGGTGCTGAAGGGACCATCTATCTGTGTCGAGATGCCTTTCCCTGCCCCAGGTTTACATAATGAAAACACATAGTTCTATGTGGTCATTCGCCCACGTGGGTTGGAAAATGTTAGCTCTCTGCCCTATGGGGTCACGCACTTAACAGACCAGCACATTCTGGTCATCTTTCCCACCTCCAGCTCTGGTGTGTTTCCCATCCAATTGTTTGGGGTGATGAAGTTGTATATTTTCTGGATTTTTTAAAGTAGGGATTTCCCCTTCTTCTCTGATTTGTTTGATTTGGTCTAAGAGGACTGGGTGAGAGCTCGGGGTCAGGGCCAGCTCTAAGGCCCTGCTCCATGTCCCTGACTCAGGGCCAGGCCCCCCGTGCCGGCTTTCAGCCTCAGATCCCTCCAGCTAAGGGTCTGCTCTGCATTCACTGGGTAGCTGGTGGAAACCCTCACTGTGGTGGGGAAGGGGAAACAGGCTGCGAGAACAGGTTCTATCTGGCAGGACTGAGTGGGCTCACTGGAAAGGGAGGCTGGTCAGTACCACAGGTGGAAGTTCTCAAGAACAAAAGCCTTATTATAGGAGAAGGAGGCGATCTGGAGATTGATCACCTTGGGGGATGCTAAGACGCAAGCATACCAGGGTTGGGTGCACCTGCTTTGGTGCGGCCTACCTCCATGCTCTTCCAGAGAAAGAACCAGCAGAGTGAAGAATAAACACCTGGCAAGGTGCGGGGTGGAACCCCCCACAGTGGAGTCAGTGACCTGCTCTGACTGGAATGGATTCTCATTGGTGGGGTGCGGGAGGACTAGCATGGTGAGCCCCTTCCTACCTCCAGCGGGCATTGCCTACCAGGTTGGTGCCTGGCCAGTGGCTGGAGAAGGTAGCTTGGGTCAATGCCCTAGAGCCTTCCAGAACTTGAGTAGGAAATTGCGAAACAGGGCTGCATTTTGAAAGAGAAAGTATGTGAAAAATGGTTCCTCCCTCGCCTGCCCTCCCCGGGGCTCGGTGCAGGGAGGTGGGTGAGATGGATTCCTGACTGCGCCTACTCATGTGGGAAAGAGGGCAGGGGCAAACTCCCAGCAGCTGCCAGCCTCTGATTATTGATTATTGATGGCATGGTGCACTTTCCCCAGCTGGTGAGCCTGGTCTATGGACAGGGCCAGCTGCTTCCTCCAGCTGAGTTTTGTGTCTTCAAAGGATGGCTTCTAAGGGTTCCCTTTCCGACCTCATATGGACCATGGCTGTTGACTGAGTATTTGGAATGTCTTCAGGTTGAGCCAGGCCTGTCCATAAAATGGGAGGCATTTGGCGGTTCCACTGCCTCTGGCTCCCAGTCTTGGCCCTGGCCGGGCTGTCTTCTTCAAGGAGCTGTGTGGGCCTCCTGCCAGCATGCTTCCCTGGGAAACATTGAAGTGAGTTAAAGTCAACAATGAGTTCATCTCCAAAAAGAATAAGCCAAGAGCCCCAGGGCATGGAGACAGGAGAAGGCCTACTGGAGACTGGGGACAGAAGAGGGGCTAGGTGATGCTAGGGCAGCCGGACCCAATCCAAGTCTGACAAGGGAGTTGGTGTCGCAAGGGACAGCAGAAGCACTTTCTGACACCAGCCCTGGAAGACAAACTTGGCACAAGTGGTGGTGATGAGGATGTCACATCCCCAAAGAACATGCAAAGTGCTCTTTAGTGGATTAGGGGAGGGGGGTTGAGGCAAGGCAGAGAGAAAGAAAGAGCCTGGGGTGATGGGTCAATGAGTTGTGACCCAGCTGTCCTCGGGCTGCCTGGAGGGATGGGGTGTGCACCAGGATAGACATTTGGACAGGGACAATGTCCTGCCGCCATCTCATCTCAAGTGTTGGAACTGGGGATAGTATGACGTCAAGGTCAAGGGCAGAGCGGCCTCATGCTTGTTGCAAAATCTGACATGTGTGTGCATGCCAGGTGCATGCGTCTGCAGATGTACATGCATGTGTGTAGGGTGTGTGTGCGTGGTATGTGTGTGTGTGGTGTATGTGATGTGATATGTGTGTGTGTGTGTGGCATGTGTATGTGCGGTGTATGTGGGGTGTGTGTGTGTGTGTGTGTATGTGTATAGGCTAGAGGACAACCTTGGTGTCATTCCTCAGGAGTATTTACCTTGTCTTTTCAGACTGTCTCCTCACTGGCCTGGAGTTAACTACTAACTCCACTCCTAACTACGTAGGTTAGGCTGACTAACCCCAGAAAGCCCCAGAGATCTGCCCATCTCAGCCTCCCCGGGGCTGGAATCACAAGTGCATGCCACTATGCCCAGAATTTAAAAGTGGTTCCAAGGGAGCAAACTCAGGTCTTTGTCCTTGCTAGGAAAGCAGCATTTTACTGACCCTGCTGTCTCCCCAGTGCAGGACCCGGCATCTGAATCTGCACCTCTCTCCTTCTAGATATGTCCCTGAGGGCCCTACACAGGATCAGGGTGTCTGACTGCTTCTGATTGCTCTTCCTGAAGGGCACTGGACTGGTCTTGACTCACATGGCCAGACTCTCTGTAGCATTCAGAAGGCCCAGTGGAAACACTGGAGCCAGCTGAAGCTGGAGCCGTTCTCTGTGGGCACCAGAGTGGAATCCTACCTCACTCCACCAGCTCAGGGGCTGCTAGAGGAGGGCGTCCATGCCTCCCTGATAAAAGATGGTCGTGCCAGGTTGAAATATACATAAGAAACCTGGCTCAGACCTTCACTACGTGCCGGAGGCTTGGAGATTCTGGCAAGGATTGCCTTGAATATACACTTGGCCTCTCTCCCAAGGGCAGGATCGTTGCCGATAGACTGTGTTTGATTTCTCCCCTGCCCTCACATTCATTCTCCCAGATATTTTATTGTACGAGGTATTTGCCTGACACGCATATTTACAATTCTTTCCCTGCCACCAAACCAACAAAGTGTCCACAGACATTGAGTCTCGGTTTCTTCCAAACACATTCTCTCCAATTCCCATGGCTTACCCTTCTCCTATTTCTACCATTTCTTTTTCTTTTTTTTTTCAAACATATTTTCATCCTCTGATTTTTCTGAGCCCTCTCCATGCTGTCTGAGCTGGGCTTCCCTGCTCTTCTGGAGAGCCATTGCTGTCACACGCACCAGAAGCCTTAGTCTGCTTTTTAAATTTTTTTTTTAATGTGCACTTGAAAGTTCTTCAGGTTATGGTTATGACTTACCTTCTCCATATGTCTCCCGGATATTTAACTAATGATGTTTGCCTTCTGCTATCATGAACTAAATAGTGGATGAATGGGAAAAAGAGAATTGACAAAAAGGTTCCACTTGAATTGTCTTCCTGTGTACATGGTGTGTACAGGCGTGCACACCAGCATGTGCACATGCATGTGGAAGGCAGAGGTCAGCCTTGTGTGTCATCCTTCAGGGCCATCCTCTTGTTTTTAGAGATGAGGTCTCTCATTGGCTTCGGCACTCGCTAATTAAGCTAGGCTAGCAGACCACACCCTCCCAGTGCCGGGACGTCATGTACAAGCCACCGCACCCAGACTTTTTAGTTAGGTCTTGGGGATTGCTTGAGATGATAATCGTTGATGGTTCTGACTCCTTTTCCTTTCTAGGAGTAAAGGGGTGGGGGATAGGGTCAGCCTGAAGATAGTTGGAACCCTGGACCCAAAGCAGTCTGACTTCCCATCTCCCTGTCATTCGCCAGTACTAGTCCTGACAAGCCAACTTTTCAGGGGTATGGCCTGCTGCTCCCACCCCCTGCCCCATTGTCTCTTCTTATTACTCACTGGTGCCCAGTCCAAGGGGACTGTACTGGTTGGGTTTTGGTTAGTTGGTTGGCTTTTTGTCTACTTGACTGACACAAACTAGAATTACCTGGAAATAGGAACCTCAGTTAAGAGGTTCCACAGATTAGCCTGCAGGCAGGTCTGTGGGGGCATTCTCTTGATTACTGATTGACATGGGCAGGTCCAGTTCACTATGGGCAATGCCAGCCATAGTGTATGATAGGATGGTCCTGGGTATATAAGGAAGCAGGCAGAGCAAGCCATGGAGACTAAGGTGATATGCAACATCCCTCCGGGGCTTTTGCTTCAGTTCCTACTTCTAGGTTCCTGCCCTGTTTTGAGTTCCTGCCTTGACTTCCCTCAGGAGGGGACTGTGATCAGGACATGTAAGTCAAATAAACCCTTTCCTCCCCAGGCCGTTTTGGGTCGTGATGTTTATCACAGCAATAGAAAGTAAATTAAGACAGGGAACATCACACATCAATATACTGTACAACATGATCCGCCCCAGACACACCTGTAGCTAGCCCACTCCTGCTTAACACCGAACAAATGACCATCCTCTGTGAAGCACCCCTGCCCTAGGGAGTAGCAGCCCCCTCTGCATTGCTGTGGACCGTCCATCCACTGTCAACTTATCTACGACTGCACCCTCTAATTGAATGTCCCCTCCAGAAATCAGGGCTTGAGCCCATTCCTGTTTACAGTGGCTTGAGTGGTGATCCCAGACACCCGATCTCTTTCTTGCTTTCATGGCACAGACACCTCTACTGCAAAGATGGTCAACGTACCTAAAACCCGAAGGACTTTATGTAAGAAACGTGGGAAGCATCAGTCTCATAACATGGCCCAGGATGAGAAGGACTCGGGCTCCTTGTATGCCCCAGGAAAGCAGCGCTACCATTGGAAGCAGAGTGTGGTTATCATGGGCAAACAAAGCCAATTTTTTCAAAAGGAGGCCAAAATCGCAAAGAAGATGGTGCTCAGAGTGAGTGTGTCTAACCTAACTAAAGATTCAAGGGGCTGCTGGCCCTTCAGAGGTAACAAGCAAGGGCTGGAGAGTTGGCTCAGACGTTAAGAATGTTGTCTGCTCTTCCAGTGGTTGTGAGTTCAGTTTTCATCAACCACATGGTGGCTCACAGCCATCTATAGTGAGATCTGGTGCCCTCTTCTGGTGTGCAGACATACATGCAGGAAGAACACTGTATACATACTAAATAAATAAAGGTTTATTAAAAAAAAAAAGAAGTGCAAGCATTTTGAACTTGGCAAAGAAAAGAAGAGAAATGGCTAAGTGTTGTCTGAGAGGAAAATACTAAAGCAGTAGAAAAATTACCTGTTAGAGAATAAAATCATTGTTAGTCATAAAAAAAAAAAAGAAGAAAGAAAGAAAAACGGAGTGCTTGAGCTCCGTTGCGACCCAGGACTCCCAAGGATGCGCCACCCAAGTACCGGGAACATTTATACGGTGCTTATCCCTGCTCAGCCTTGGCTTTGGGTGTTTTACTTAACCCTCGACTCAGCCTTGTGTAGTGGACACAGAGGGCGGAAAGAATGGAGCCAAAGGCCCACCCACAGCTAATAGAGCAGAGGACTGGTGCCCAGCTAGCTGGGCCCTGCTATCGCCTAAGCTGAGGCAATACACGTGCTATGCCTGGTTTCCTGTCTGCACGTGTTTGTGTCCTGCCGTCAGTCACACACCTCGACTGGAAGAGGGATGATGCACGCGCGTGCTCATAAACCGTGTCTACGGTTCGCAGGGCCTTCTACCAGCTCCACCTCTCTACTCCAGCCTACCTACAACCATTGGTCGCGACTGCTCAAGACTAGGGCTCACCACGGCTGGAGCTGGCAGAATGTATCCCAGTGCCATGTCCCAGTGGTTGACTTGGCCTAAAGACCCCAATGTGCCAGGACCATATTCGACAGAACAGGCTCTCAACCTCATCCTTCGACTCAAGGTCACCACAAGTCTCAGAGAATCCAGTTAAAAGGATTTTTTGAGTGGAGTCCCTTCTTGAAGTCTCCTTCTCTGAGATCAGAGTGGAAAATCCTGAGTCTCCTTGGGGCCACGGGGAGGGGGCCCACACCTGATAGACCCTATTTGGCCTCAGACAGCTTCTCTGCCCCTCCCCATGAAATCTAAACTTCTGCAAAGAGCCCTCTGCTGGCCCACAAAAGCATCAGCTACACTCAGATGTACAAGGGATGGTTATGTGGGTACTAAAACAACCAAGCACCTTGGGGGGAGGGTTCTCGGAGCATATTCCCTATTGGGATGGGGAACACTCTCGGAGAACAAAGGCAGCTGCATCATCTGCCTGTCGCATGCCTAGTCAGCTCAGGAAATGCACACCAGTGTCCTTGGATAGGGATGTGGGCAAGCCATCTTGTAAAGGGGCTGAGGAGCAAAAATATTTTTAGGCTCTGTGGACCATATGTTGTCTGCTGCAGCCGCTCATCTCCCCCTTGTAGGGCCGAAGCAGTCAAAGGCCATGTGTAAACAAGTGGTGTGGCTGTCTTCCAGTAAAACTGTATTTATGAACCCTGAAATTTGAATTTCATATCACTTTCATGCGTCATAAAACGTTATTTTTATTTTGACTTTTTCAGTCATTTAAGAAACTAAAATCCATTCTTAGCTTTAGGGCCATATAAAAATAGGCGGTGGGTGGGATTTGGCCAGTGGGTTGTAAGTCTGCCTACCCCTGTGCTGGGAAATCGGCTAAATGGTTTGGTTCATGGTTTGTTTGGTTTTTTTGTTTTATTTTGTTTTGTTTTTTATGGGCACTGATGGTGTGGGAGGTGGGAAGCATGGTGGAAATCCAAAGCCCCAGTCCTGGATAGAGTGGAGAGGCATCCTAGGATCCCAGACAACTCTCAATCCTTCAAATTTATTAAAAGTTACTAGCAAGTTCCTTTATCCCGATTTGTAGGATATATTAGTATATTAGAAGGATAGCTTTTTCCCAAAGACATGATCAGTTTCTTTTCTTTTTCTTTCTTTCATTTTCTTTTTTCTTTTCTTTTCTTTTTTTTTTTTTTTTGATTTTTTAAGATAGGATTTCTCTGTGTAACAGTCCTAGCTGTTCTAGAACTCACCTTGTAGACCAGGATGGCCTCAAACTCACAAAGATTCACCTCCCTCTGCCTCCTGAGTTCTGGGATTAAAGGCGTGTGACACCACCTCCAGCTATGACCATTTTCTAGTGAGGCTCTTTACACAAGTTACGCAAGGGCCAGATGTGGTGGTGCATTTTATTCCAGCTATTCTTAAAGTGTGGAGATTTTTATTGTAGATGTAATGGAGAAAGCAGGCAGAAGGAAGAGTCCAGGCTGAACATGGCCAGCAGACTAAACTGGACCATGGGAGGACAGAGGGGGAGGGAGACCAAGAGAGGTGGCTCAGGCTAAGAGACCGGCCAGAGACTGGTATAGCCAAAATGGCTGAGTTATACAGGAATCGTGCTGGGGTAAGGGAAACAGAAGCCCAGTCCTTGGAAAGGAGGTGGTTAAGGAAGGGGGTGCAGTGGGGAGTGCTGGGAGGGGTCACAGGTGATGGGCAGTGCATGCTGGGAGACCTGGTCAACATCATTTTGATATGTTAATAGACACCCCAGTTACCTCTTTCTCCTAAGGTCAACCTGGAGGTCTCCACAAAGCATGTGCACGCGTGTGCACAAACATCCACTGTTACATATGCAAACATCCCTCCCCATCCCCATACCACACATACACACAGAAAAAAAAATAAGTGAAAACAATACAGATTAGGGTTGGACCACTTTCTCATCTGCCACTTGAGAAGTTGTTCACCTTAACGTTTTGCCTACAAATCTCTACTTTGCAGTTAAGGTTTCTGTTCCCCATCTAGACCAGAACTGACACAGCAGCAAAGGGATGCAGGAGGTCACAGAAATCTAGTGTCTTCTCAGGGAGGAGCTGTCCTAAAGGTAAAACTGACCATCTGATAGCGTTTCCTGGGGCACAATAGTTAAAGAATTGACGTCTCCGACTCTTCAGTGGGGCAATATTCAGGGAATGAGCCAAAGAACCTGGTGGTCACTTTTTAAAATGCATTTTCCTAAGAAAAAGGGGGAAGGGGAAGAATTACACAGAGATTTAGTCTAACAGCTTAAAACTCAAAAGGATCACTGACTGGACAGATAGATATCAAATATAATAAGAAACACACTGATCCTGGAGAGATGACTTAATATGGGCCTCCAGCCTGCTTGGATCTTAACAGTTGTCTACAATTTGGAAGTAGACTTCCAATTCCCACATCAGTGTGTACTCTGGGTGCAGCGGCTCTCAGTTATCTAAACCAGGCTGGGAACGAAAGGCTGTTAAAGGCATCTTAGGTTAAGTGCATCTCAGGTTGTTCATGAGCAGCTGGGAAACACAGGAACCCAGCATAGGCTCCCAAAAGGCCTCTGTTTGTTTTTCCAAAGCTTAATCTAGGGACCTTTCTGAAGACCTTCTTAACCCTGAAATTTGAGCAATGCCAAGAGAGTATCAGTCTCTCTATCACTTCTCATAGGGAGACAGCTTGCCAGCTTGCTGTATCCTTGTCTAAAAGCTTCTTGGGCATTTTAAATTGAAAGTGGAGGCATGGGGCTGGAGAGATGGGCCAGCAGTTGGTTAATAAAAGCACTTGGTGCTCTGGCAGAGGACTGGGGCTTGGTTCCCAGCAGCCACATCAGATAGCACCCAACCATCTGTAATTTCAGTTCCAGGAGACCATCTGGTCTCCATGGGTACTGCATACACTGGATGTGTTTGTGCACCTAAACTTCACGCAGGTCAGGCTGGCCTTGATCTCACAGAGATTCACCTGCCTCTGCCTCCCTCTACTGGGATTAAAGCCATGCGCCACCACGCCAAGCCAGAAATCCTATTCTTTAAAGGAAGAAATGGAAGATGATTTGACCAGTGAAGCCCTAACTTTAAGGTGATATTTTCTGGTTAGCAGTTCAGATTGTATATAAAGGAGTTTTGTTTGGTTGTTTGTTTTCTACAGATGAAACAAAGCAGCCAAACCCCACTGAAGCCACATGAAGAATCCTTTGCTTTGGCATCTCCTGCTTTGGCATTTGAACTGTTTTGCACTGAGTGGAGTCACTCTAGAGTCTGGCGTATTTGTTTGTTTGTTTTTAAACAGAGCCTTGCCAGGCTGGCCTCAAACTGGCTAAGAATGACCTTGAACCTCTGACTCTCCTTTTCCCCACCTCCTAAGTGTGAGATCACAGGCACACACAGTAACATGCCAGGCTTTATGTAGCGCTGAGGGTGAAACCTGGGGCTTTGCACGTGCTAAGCGAACATTCTACAGCTTGAACTGTGTCTCCATTTCTCTTTTCGTGTGTTTGCTTGAAGATAAGGTCTCTCTATGTAGCTCAGGCTGGCCACGAATTCACAGCCATCTTCCTGCTTCAGTCCTCTGACTTCTGGGATTACAGGCCTGTGGCACCTGATCTCCCTAGGTAGCTCAGGCTGGCAGTGAATTCACAGCAATCTTCTTGCTTCAGCCCTCTCACTTCCGGGTTTCTGCCTGTGGCACCCCACCCTCCCAGGGTGCAATACTTGCTCCATCAGACGGGAATCTGCTGCTGGTGAAGAACCTAACAAGGACACGCGAGAAGTCTCTGTAGCAGTTCAACTGAGAATCATAAGCCAACAAGCTGGCACTAATTAAGAGATGATGGCCTTGTAATGGAGCATTTCCAAAGGATGAGGACCCTGGGCTGCAGCAGAAATACAGACTCTTGGGGCAGAGCCAAGATGTGTTTTTCAGAGAGCAACAGAGCCCACTCCAGCCTTCCTCACCTTGGCTCTGCTGGAGAAAATGAAGAGGAAGCCAGGTCTTCATGAGCCAGCTTCTGGTCAGATCATCAGAGAGCCCCATGGTGATTTTTTTTTTAGGGAAGAGTTTAATTTTCAGGGCTAAAACTTCTGTGTGGGGTTGGGCATGTAGCTGTTGGTAGAGTGCTTGCCCAGCACACACAGAGTCCTGTATTTGATCCTTGGCACTGCATAACCAGGACTGCAGAAACCACTGCTTAATCACAGAGCTTGGGAGGTAGAGACAGGAGAACCAGAAGTTCCGGGTCATTCTCAGTTACATGCCAAATTTGAGGCCAGCCTGAGCTTTATGAAATCCAGTATCAGCAAAACAATAACAGCAAAAAGACTAAAATTTCTATGTATACAAAAATCACTAGGGGACCTGGGAATATCTCTTTGTAGTAGAGTGATTACCTAGCATAGGTGAGGCCCTAGATTCAATTCCTAGTGTCACCAAAGCAATCGCTAGGGTCACTAAGGCATGAGCATGTCACTTAGTGGTAGCGCACTTTCCTAGCATGTAGGTGACCTAGTTGATCCTAGTGCTGGAGAAAAAAAATAAATCATTAAAAAGCAGATTATTGCCGGGTGGTGGTGGCGCACACCTTTAATCCCAACACTTGGGAGGCAGAGGCAAACTGATCCTTGGGAGTTCAAGGCCAGCCTGGTCTACAAAGCAAGTTCCAGGACAGCCAGGGCAGTTACATAGAGAAACCCTGTCTCAAAACACCAAAAACAAAAGTAGACTATTTTACTTTTGAGCTCCTATTTCCAGTCCTGTGGAGCAGGGAAGCTCTGGGGAGAGGCTCAGGAGGCTGCATTTCAAGCCCACTTCCCCAAGTGATTCTGATGCTGGTGGTCCACAGTGGAAAATTCTTCTTTAGAAGCAACTGCTGTTTACCCATCTGACACCCATGACAGGATGAAAATGAGGTCAGGATTCTCCACTTCCTGTGAAAACATCAGTTCGGTATACAGCGCAGGCTTCTTTCAAGGAGGCATTTCTAGCTGGCCAATGGGGGACTCTCCCCATGCACACAGACCCATGGCTATGAGCAACAGGATGGCCGAGGATACGGCGCTAACCCTGGGTCTGGAGAGAGAGGGCTTTGCATCTGCACAGGATGAACTGTGTCTGCACTGTGCTCGTGGACCATAACTCATGGTGTCATCCTGAAAGTGTCCAGGGAAGTTAAACTATTCTGTCTGCTGCAAAGCTGAGGAATCGTAACTCCCGGAGGAGGAGGTGTCGTGCCTCCTCCGATTGCCATACATTAGGGGGAAGAAAAGAGTGAAGAAACAATCGCTGCCTTACAGCTGTGGGAAGGAGGATAAACAAAAGGCACCAGGAACTTGAGCTGAACTCACCTCCGTCATCAGGTTCTTCATCTGCTGGTAGAACCCAGGCTGGCTGTCAGGCTCCGCAAATAGCGCTTGGAGAGTCGATAGGTCAGACTGTAAAAGTAGATGGGAAACTGGTACCATCAACATAAGCAGGGTCGGAGAGTAGGGGAGAAACAACACACCGTATCATCTGGGAAAATAAAACTCTTTGGCAAGACTTCACAACAGCCTGATTCAAAATTTCATAATGAAATTATGTCTCTGATCAAAGCCTGCATGAGCTCATGGGCTGATTTTTGCCATTCGTGTTTATTCTGGTTTGCACCAAGTTGAGGCATCAGAAACACATTAATCTAATCATCTCTGTGGGAGGAGGCTCTTGTACCCTCATTTGGGGATCAAAGGGACCATCTTCAGCCCCTCACTGAATGTGCAGCTTTCTTTGATTGGTTCTCAGCGTTTCCTTAGGCACATATCAGGGGTATAACCTTCCTAGCAAGGTTGAGGTTTGTGACACTGGCCCGTGAGGTAAGAAAAGCAAAGCTTCAGGGAAAGGGAGCTGCACAGCAGTGGCACACACCTTTCTTCCAGCACTCGGGAGGCAGAGGCAAGCGGATCTCTGTGAGTTTGAGGCCAGCCTGATCTACAAGTGAGTTCCAGGACAGCCCAGGCTACACAGGGAAACCCTGTCTTGAAAAACAAACAAACAAATAAACAGACAGACAGACAAACAGACAAACAAGATAATGTCTCTTATATCCTGACTTGTACCTACCTCATTATATAGTCCAGGCTAGACTCAGGGCAATCCTACTGCTTTGGCCTTGCAAGTGCTGGATTACAGTCTCACGCCACCACCTCAGCTTTGTTTTAGGTTCTGAGGACACAGAGGTGGAGATGTGTACAAGGCTTCTGCCTTCTGAAGCTTATGACCTAGATTCAGGCAAACAGCCAATCCTCTTGTGAGTGAGACCATTTCACTTAGCGGCGTGCACTGAGAAGTATGGTGGGATGGAATAACAGGAAGGTTTGGTTGGTTTAAATCAATAAATCAGGAAAGACTTCCACCGATAGGATAAATTGCCAGATAAATCAAGGGCATGTAGTTCAATTAGAAAACGACAAGTGAACAGCTAAAAAAGTGTGATGTAGGCTCTCTGTGTGACTCAGGCTGGCTTTGAACTGTGACAGTCCTCCTGCCTTAGCCTCTCAGGTCTCAAGTGTATCATGTTTCCTTAGGGTTTTTTCTTTTTTGACATAGACATCCTTATATTCTTTAAGTTATCCTGAACAAGGCTTGAAATATAAACTAGAAAGAATGCCTATTTTTTTAATCTAAAGTTCAAATTTCAGTGTGTCCTGCATTTTTCTTGATAATCTCTCTCTCTCTCTCTCTCTCTCTCTCTCTCTCTGTCTTCCTTCCTTTCTTTCTTCCTTCCTTCCTTCCTTCCTTCCTTCCTTTCTTTCTTTCTCTTTTTGAGACAAGGTCTTGCTATATAATTTGAACTGGCCTGGAAGCAGTGGCAATCTTCCCTCCTCTGTCTCTGGAGTGTTGATATTACAGGTGTGTGCCACTATACTGATTTATTTGTTAGGGTCTGCAATTCCTATGAATAGATGATATTTGAGCGGGGAACTGACCAGAAGGAACCTGCTATGCAGATTCGGGGAAAGAGTGATTCAGTATAAACGTCAGAAGGAGGGACAAATGAGGTCAGAGGAAACGGAGACAGGTCACAAGTTTTGTCTGGATGGAAAGGAGTTTGGATCTGTCTTTCTCTTTGTGATAATAAGTCATTAGAGAATTAGAAGTGTTTGTTTACTTGTTTGATTTGGGCTGAGGCTTGAACTCAGAGCCTAGTGCGTATTAGATGCAAGCGCTACTGCGGCCTAAAATTTGAAGGAAGGGGATGGCCTGTTCTGGTATTTTCCTGCTGCTGATGGGCAGCTTTTGGAAGGGTTCGGAGGGTAAATTCCGATCAGTTTATGCATTGACCTGAGAAGAGGCTTTTTCCTTCGGGCGGGACTCACAAGGAGCCCAGCGCTGTTGGGCGACCCGGATGTTGCTATGGAGGAGACGCTTGGCGGTTGCTAGGCCAGGAGCAGAAGGGAGCCGGGCGGAGGCGGAGCTGGCCCAGCTCAAGGAAAACGCCGCGCGTTCTCAGGAAGTCGTTCTGGGCCGCGCGTGGCGCGAGCGGAAGTGACGTCACCCGCGTTCGGGGCCCAACGTGTTTCACGTAGGTCGCCTTTCCGGCAGGGAAGTTCTGAAGTGCTCACCCCGCGTGTAGCAGAGTGGGGTACTGTCGCCAGGATGGTGAAGCCCAAGTACAAAGGACGGAGCACCGTCAATCGGTCGTCAGCCAGCACCAACCCGGGTACGGCGGGCTGGGCGGATCTAGGCCACGGGAACCCGGGGGAGGAAGGCCCGGCCTGGGTGGCGAGCCCGGGGTGTGGGCACCCACTCCAGAGTCGGGGCACGCGTCATGCCAGCCTCTGGCAGGTCTGCGGCCTCTCAGGCTGAGGTATAGAGAAAGGCAGGTGAAAAGTGGACGAGGAGCCTGGAGTCCTGGCACACGCCTGTCATCCCAGCCCTCGGCAGGTGCATCGCGAGTTCGAGGGTGCCTGGGCTTCAGGGCACAGACTCTGAAAACACAAAGTGGAGTTAGGTTGACCCAGGGGACCTTTTACCCTTGACCATTACATTCGTGCCACGTTGGCTTTGACTATTAAGTGATAGATGGTAGCATTGGCTCTTGATACAGATGTTTCATAGGCAGATGTTTCATAACCCTGCAGATAAATATGACGATGATTTTAGTACGGGTGTTTAACACTGGGAAGGCAGAGCAGGCATAGCTCAATGAGTTCCAAGTCAACCTGGTCTACATAGTGAAAGTCTGTCTCAAACTAAAATAAATAAATAAATAAAAAGTTTAGATATGCTCTTGTCTTCATGGAGCTGCAAGGATAGCTGATCTCAGTATTTTCTTTCAATTTGCATAATTAAGGCCTTAGAATTATAAAGGCACTCAACAAGGCTGGAGAGACCACTGGGAGATTAAGAGCTCACTCACGCTGTTCTTGCAGGAGGACCAGAGTTCAGTTCCCAGCACTCAGTTCAGTTGGCTCTCAACTGCCTGTTACTTCAGCTCCAAGGGGTGTGTCTACACTAACATGCATATACTCACATACATACATATACTTTAAAAAAAAAAACGCAGGCACACTGTTCATGTAGTAATACTAAATGGAAATATACAAAAGTTTAAAGTTGCTGCATTACTTTGCTGTCTTTCATAAAGGTATTTAGTCATATAATACCATTTATTTGGAAAACATACTTAGGATTGGTTGGCCATTTGTTTGATGTTGTTTTTAAGGAGAGTTTACGTTCATCAACAGTTTTAAAATACAGATATGAGCCTTAGGGATGAGTAGAAAGAGGTAGTCAGCAAAAGGGCCCAGAGCCAGGTGTGTGTGTGTGTGTGTGTACGTGTGTACGTGTGTACACGCGCGCGTGTGCGTGCATGTACTTCTCAATAAAGAGTTCTAGTAATTTAGTTTTATTTTGGGTTTTCTCTTAAAATTTAGATGAGGGGCTGGAGAGATGGCTCAGGGGTTAAGAGCGCTGGCTGCTCCTGCAGAGAACCTGGGTGTGATTTCCAGCACCCGTGATACTGACAGCGTCTGTAATCCA